AAATCCACCAAATGGTTCAGAGCCTTGTTGTGAGAATAATCCTTGGCTTACTCCTGGAAATATCTCGCATTGTCCAGAGGTCAAAAACGACTTGGGCGTTAATGGAAGTTCTAATAAACAAATACCATAAACGAACGATAACCCAACTATACTTCACAAATGATTTGGATGATACCCCTCACACATTAGTTTCTAAAATTTGTCTAATGTGCCCTGAAGCTCGCCCTGAAGTTCATATACCTGTCAGTGAATTTTCGGATTCTTTAAGATCTTCTTCTTAGCTTACCCCGATCTCTACGGCTGTGATATCCAATGATTCATACACACCCCGCTTTCCATGGTTTTTAAAACTAGACAAATTGTTTATTTGCTATTCATCTCACGAACAAGAAGGCGTAGGATGACAAAGAGGAGTGAGGGGGGGGGGGGGGCAGGGGACTGAGCGTTGACTTGTTTATAAAACATTCTCAGGACATGCATCATAATGAACGGCGTGTGGAGAGAGCAAATGAACTTGTAACATGAAACCATTTCACCATGGGTAGTCTTTGATTTGAATAAACTTCCGAAGCCATTTTGTTTTGCGGTGCTACTTAAAGACGATTTTCCCAAGAGAGCAGTTCCAGGCCAAATAACGAATCGATCAGAAGCGACTTTCTCAGATTTGCATGAAACTTTGCATCGTTGTTTGTTATGGTCAATCATTCACATTTTTGCTAAAATTCAGCGACATTCAAGCAAAAAAGCTTCAAAATGGCGTTTTGGAGATTTTTCAACAAATCATAACTCGAAAACATCACTTCCAATCGAAAAAAGTTGTAGGGAAAAATTATTTCTTTTTAGGAAAAGCATACACGGTTGAAAATATCCATGTAATTTTTGTTAAAACATAAAAAAAAAGTGTTTAAAATGTAGATAACAATAATTTAAAAAAAAATCATACTCAAACGATAACCCAAATTATATGACTATTCCACAAACGGTTTGAGTGATACCCTGATCACGTCGGTAAGCAAATTAACCATACACATTTTATTAGTGACCCTTCAATATTTTTTTGAATATTTTTCAATTCTATTCAATTTTCATACTGCCGTACTCTAACGGAACTATCCACCTACCCTCTTCTAAAGATCATTCTCTAGCTAATAAATCATCACACTAAAGCTTCATGTTAGCATTTCCAACCAACTCTGAAAATCGTTAACTTCGCGTATGAAGTAACATAAAAAACACTTTGAATGTAACAACTCAAGGCGGGAGTAGCCGTCAACAATGCTGATGATGGTACAGCACGCAACAACCACCCTACTGCTTTTGAGATGATCACGTTGGTTATGACGAGAGGAGCAACACAATAGTTGGGTAAAGAAGAACTGCATTATAACACACCATCGACTGGAAATGCTCTCGCAACGTGGGGCTTTAGGTAGTGATGAAAACGTCGCTAGAACTATTCCACAGCCGCAGTCAGTTTATGAGCAACAAGAGGGACGCACATTTTTGCCTGTGGACTTTGAGACATACTTCAAGTCCCCGCGTACATCGTACGGGCTAGGCAAAAATGTGCGTCTATCTTGAAAACTGTCGCTTTAATGGCCCTTCGCTCATTTTCAACTTCTATTCAATTTTCATACTGCCGTACTCTAACGGAACTATCCACCTACCCTCTTCTAAAGATCATTCTCTAGCTAATAAATCATCACACTAAAGCTTCATGTTAGCATTTCCAACCAACTCTTCTGGTTAAAGTTTGACAGATGGAAAGATCGATTAACCCTGCTATCCGAGCGTGGTTACTTCTGACAGACAAGAAGTTAAATTTTGACAACCTTGGCTAAGTTCTTCTCGAAAACCGGTCGATCGACAGCACAAGGATTTTCGAACATAGAAAATAACTTTCGAAATGTCACTTTTAACCACGAGTTAAATTTAACTCGGCAAATGGTTCCCAGCCTCAATTCCATGTGCTAAATGACGTTTGAGCTATTTTTAATTTGAACGGCGTGCAGATGAGCGGGTTTTTAAGTAAAAAGTGTTGAGTTTAAAAACTGTGATATTACCGGGGGTCTATGTTTTAAAGTTTTTTTTTGCGTGATGTTTTTCAGAAATGTAAATAGTTGTCCATAACTAACAGTTATGCAAAGTTTCATGTAAATCGGAGAAGGTCGAGTCAAAAATTCATTTCTGTTTCTGTTATTTGGCCTGTAACAGCTCTAGACGGATTTTCCTTGATATTTGCGAGGGGGACGACACATCTAAATCTCCATTCTAGATGCTCAAAAAATCTCACACTAGCGAATCAATCTTCGAAAAATCTTCTTCCATTTCTCGCATCAACTTGCAGAATCTTCGGAATCGGCATCAATCTTCTTTCTATCTACTCAGCAAGCGCGCAGCTAGTCACAGCAAAACACAATCTTTCCTGCATTGTATATACATTCGTCCCCCTCGGATATTTGTTACGATTTCGATACAATTTCATCCTACATTGACAAAGCGCAACAAACAGAGAAACATCACCGACAAACCGATATGAATGACCATAGAAGTTACCATTAAATTTAAGGCCAAAACACACTACTGCCATCTGACTCCATGCTCACGGAAAACGTTTAGCTAATCACGCGTGTACAATTTATGAGCTGGTTTGTTTCTGATCGATTCTGGACAAACTATTTTTGATTAGCTACTAAAATCCAATGATTTTGACAGACAGAATCGCTGCGAGCAAAAGTTAGGTTTAAACAAAGACATCAAATAAAGAAGACTGGCAACTCTGCCAGAATCCAAGCGTCAGATACAGTAGCGCTGCGCTCGAGCCTAGAAAAATTAGCAAACACACAAACCTTTCTACTGAGGCTGTAATCTTTGTTATCAAATCGTTCGAAGCATTTACTTTTGAGCGGCAGATGACTGCGATTGTGTCGAGCTCATAGCCACATAGCGGTCGTATGAGAAAATGGAAGAATTGCCAGTCTTCTTGATATGTTGTCTTCGGTTTAAGTTTCATGTCGGTTTGGCGGTGGAAACATGCTATGTACCTATCTTGTTCCTACCTACTACGGCTGTTTTCCATTTCGTGAATGTTCACTTGACAGATGGACACTTTTCAAGTAAACCTGCTATTTTACCTGACTTATTTCCTATAGACCAGGAATCAATTTTGACAAACAGCTTCTCGAAAATCGGACGATCAATAACAGAGGGTTTTTTCGAACATTATAATTTATTTTCGAAGCGTCAAATTCAAGTGAAAATTTACCAAATGTAACACAACCTAAGACTGTGTTATATTTGATGCATTTGTTGTCAAGTGCCGAAGTGTCAGAAGCTAAATTAAAGTGTTCGAAAATCTCTCTGTTCATGATTCAAATATTTTCGAGTAAGTGTCGATCAAAATCTATTTCCTGCAGGATTAATTACGACCTCACGATTATTAAAAATAATTCGACAGTAAGCATGCATAAGGGCGTAAACACGATGATCGATTCTCTTCGTCGATTTTCTCTTTTGTTAATAACTCGTTAGATTTAACGATTTTCGGTGCGTTTGCTGTTGCTTTCGATAGCCAATACAACCTGTTACAACTCTGCATTGAACAAATTCTAGAAAGCTATTTCACTTAGCTGCAGCAATGCAGCAGAAAATCGACGAAGAGAATCGATCATCGCGTATACGCCCTTATGCATGCTCACTGTCGAAGTATTCTGAGTATTAAGGGCCACGTAAATTTGACAGTTAGACAATAGATTTAGCTGTCACTTTGCCGCAACGCGTCCGATCCGGATCTAATGTGCGTGGGCCTTTAGGGTTAGTTGAACATTTTCCATCGGTCAAATTTAAATTTGACACTTCGAAAATAAATTATAATGTTCGAATATCCCTCTGTTGTAGATCTTTCGATTTTCGAGAAGGTGTTGGTCAAAATGGATCCCTGGTCTGTCAGAAATAAGTCTGGTACAATAGCAGGTTTATTTGAAAAATATTTCATCTGTCAAACTGAAGTGAAAATTCACCAAAGGGAACACAGCTTAAATGTTCATATCAAGCCTGGGGGTATCTTATTTTGGGTCGGTGCAAGCAAAGTTGATTGCCTTTCGTTTCGGGTTTACGGTTCAATGCAATATATCTGTATTTCCAATTTGTCACAATATGTCCAATTAAATTTGTTTCGTTCATTGGAACTGTAAAATGATATTTTATGTTGTTTGTTTTACTATCATATTAGGGATATCGATTTACGTTAATGGAATGGAATAGTTTACCTGTAGTCAAAGTGCTTGATTGGTTGTTTAGAAAAAGGAGATGTTGAGGATTGAAAGATTTGTTCACATTTTGTTTGTCTTGACTTAGTTCCGTTAGTTCAATCATGAGCCTTATTAACGCCTTCACTCTGATTCAATCATGACACGTGGTAAAAACTACACACCGCCTGTGCGGAGAGCCTACATCATCATGCTTGTTGTTGTGTGGTTGAAAGTGTTGTAGAGTTCCGTAAGTTGCTACAAAAGAGTGAAGTTTTTGTTTTCACGCGAGAATATTTCTATTGACGAATTATTGCTGGTATCTGCCTATTCCTACAAAGATGAAATGTTGAACTATGATGATGATTATGATATGAAGGACGATGATGTCGACCGGTAAAATTGGGTTGACGGCGGATTCAAATACTACGGGTTCCGGAATCACGAGGGGTGCGACTACGACAGCCAACAACGTCGGGGGGTCTCACAGTTCCAGTGGCAGGGCTGGCCAGTGGTTGTCCGCTTCTTACGTATTCGAAATCGAAAGGTCATAAATCAGGAAATCTATAAAATAGATGAGAAATCTGATGAGGTTAGTAACAAAGAGAAATTAGAGAAAATCTTGGAAAGCACCAGGAGTATCGAATGCTTAAAATTAAAGGTAAGCAGTGAGAGCATCTTTTAGAAATTTGAAGCCTGATCAACGTTTTGTTTTCATACCCTCTTACGTTGTTTTTCCTTTTAATTCTACTACTATTGTATCACTTTCTATTTCACTAATTTGCAAACTTCTTCAGTGTCTAGTCATAGTCTATGACTAGACACCGAAGAAGTTCGCATGTAGTTAGTAAACGAAATACGTATCTGTTATACACACTAATAGCGAATTTGTTTATTATCGGGGTTGGAACCAGTTCCAACCCAGTGCGAAACCGAACTTTTTGTCAGTGCGAACCTCAACCTGAGTTAGGTTTTAAAAACAAACGATCAAACTGACGTTTGTCAGAAAACAAGCAGACCCGATCTTGATACCCGATTCAGGTTGGAACTGAATAATAAACAAATTCGCTATAAGGCTCTGAACCATATGGCGATTTTTTTTTAATTTTTGGTTAAAATTTGACAGCTGGAAAGTTGTGGAAAGGCTGTGAACCATTTGCCGAGTTGAAATTAACTCGTGGTTAAAAGTGACATTTCGAAAGTTATTTTCTATGTTCGAAAATCCCCGTGTTGTCGATCGACCGGTTTTCGACCCACCGTTGTCAAAATTTAACTTCTTGTCTGTCAGAAATAACCGTGCTCGGATAGCAGGGTTCATCGATAACTTTCCATCTGTCAAATTTTAACCAAAAGTTAAAATAATCCACCAAATGGTTCAGAGCCTACACACTTAGAAATTATTACCGTATTCGGTAATTTTTTACCGAACTTTCAACAGCTGAACGTTCGGTAATCAGTTCGGTAATCTAAACGATTACCGAACGATCGGTAAACAGATTTTTTGATGAGCTGTCAAAATTACCGAACAATTCGGTAATTATTTACCGAACTATTCAGTCATTTTTTACTGAACTGTCCCGTTAATAAAAATTTGTTGATCTTGTGTATTTTTTGTTTTTTTTCGGTGAATTAAAATTTAAAGCTATTTTTGCATTATTATTAAAGAGATTTTATTCAAAAGTAAACATCTAGGTAACAATATATTTTAAAATAACATATATTGCTCGCTGGAGTATTATTTTCGCAGGTGGCTACCATGGGGATGCCAGTCCAGAAACATTGACTGGAACCTGATCCCGAAATCACAGAATTTCTGGCTGTGTCTGAAGAGTAATCATAAAAATGAAAGAAATACATGTAATTATCAATCTCATTAAGAATATTTAATAGATGTATTATTCATCTGTATCTGCGAACATACTTACATTGTTTTCACTGGATTTTCCGATCACTTTCCACTGTTATTGTTTACTTTAAAACTTGAAACAAATATGACCGTCCTTCGATTGACAGTCTGGAATTATTTACAGAAGTTCGGTAAACGTTTCTGTAATTTGCAGTTTGTTCGGTATTTTTTAACCGAATTCGGTGTTTGCTTTGATTTACAGTTCTTACTGTACTCTTTTTAACGAAGTTCGTCAATATAAAAGACAGATTACCGTCACTTCGGTAAAACATTACCGAACGTTGGTAAACTTATTTTTGTTTACCGAAAAATCTGTAACATTCTTCATTTACCGATTTTTTTCGGTAAAAAATTACCGAACAAGGAAAACGTTGCTGAGTGTGTAAGTGTGTAGTTTTTTTTAAAGTGACAGTGAAAGTAAATAATGAAAGTGAAAGTGATACAATAGAGATTAGTGACGTTTAACGCACGCACACTAGCGGGAGCAACGCCGTGTAAAGTTGTTTATTATTTTCCTCTGGCGAACCTAAAAAATGTATGAAAGTAGATCTGTCAAAATGCGTTTGACATCGATTTGTTATGTATTTTCCTCGGATATTCACTAACACGCTCTCACATATCGCACCAATACAACCGGACGTGAAAATCTCTATAGTAGTTGAATTGAAAGGTAAAACAACGTTATAAGGTATAGGTACCATTATTCTACTAAAACGCTCATCAATCAATTTAGATTTTTTCAAATAAAATGAAAACGTATCCAATGTTTATTCAATTTGGACGTGAGTGAAAGCAATCGGTATCGATCGTCTCGCAACGAATGTTTTCGATTGTTTGTTTGGTTTTTTGCTTCATCTACTGCGCGCGTTCTTGAACAAGCGGATCAAGAAATAATGCATTCTGTGGAAAATTAGCACGCCATTCTACAGAGATGCTCCCATAAAGGTGCCCATTCTTACCTCATGCTATCCTCCTTGTAGTTGTCCGGAATGACAAACAGCTCCGGCGAGATGTCGTCCCGGAACTCGAACTTCTGGAAGGTGATCTTGGCCGACACGGTCGGCAGGATGGGGATGTCGATCTTCACCGGGAAGCCGCTCGGCAGTTTCAGGGTGACAAATTCGCGGAGCTTACTAAAATGCTTGAACGGGGCGATCACCTCCAGCACGCTCAACAACATGTCCACGCTCAGCGGAAAATCTTTGCTCTGCAAGATGAAAGTTCAGCTTGGAGTTAATTCCAGAATTTTTCCGGAATGAAAACAGGACTTACCATAGCAACGGTAGCTCTAAAATTCTTACTAGATTCCTTATAAACTAGCTCACGTCCCAAGTTGGGATACTGTCCCGGTTCGGCCGAAGAGTATTCCTCCCAGGTGATACTGTTGCTCGGGGGTGCCTGTAGGGAAGCCCTCCGGATGATCTCCCCATTCTGGTCGATGCCCGTCGTTTGGCCACCCTTGGTGAGTGACTCCATCAGGGCCTTGTTCTTCTGCAGGTCGTCCCGCGAGAGGTGCTCTCGCCGTTTGCGCTGCTCCAGCGTCAGTCCATTGATGGTATAGAGATCACTGTCGTACTGTCCGGCTACGGTTTCTTTCTTATCCTCGCGAAATATCCAGCCGGATTGTGCTTTCGTAAAACTAATACTTTTGGTTGACATCTGCGCCGCAAGGATGTCGCTCGACATCAGGATGTCCACTTCGTCCTCGATCTCGAGTTCCGTTTCCTCGTGGCGTACGTGCTGATAGCAGCGGCACTCATTGTCCAGTGCCGTCAGTGAGTCTTTGGGAGGATTATCGCCTTTGAAGATGAACGAGATGTCACCGCGTTCCCAGCGCATATCGGAGAAGTCCACCAGAGTGGTGTCCAGCCGGATCGAGCAGCCCGACTTGTGAATCTTGCAGACGTCCGATGGGAGGATGCGCGATATGAGCGGGACCCACGAGTGGAAGTCCCACTTGAGTTCCATGTAGAAATCACCCATCTGCTTGAGGGCCTTCACCAGATTGGGCCTCCGTTGGTCCATCTGTTCGCGGGCTTGCTGCTTGAGTTTTTTTAGTAAGGAACATACTGAAACGAGGGGAAATGGAAATTGATTGAAACACATCTATCGCAGCAATGGTTATTCCAGATATCATGTTGGAAACCCATATTTAGTTATCTTCAGGTAATTTTAATAACCTACTAGTTTTCAACGACTATACTAATCAACCGAGCTACAGTTGAAACCCGGAAAAACCCACACGCGACAAGCTAGTCGACAGTGACCGTTCATAAGGGCCTAATTCAGCCATTCCATAGCAAAACGATATAGTGGTTCTCAGAATCAAGGTTGCAAAGACTCATTTCAGCTAAAATAATGTTTTTCGGAATAATAAAACCAAAAGATGGTATGATGGTATGTTTTACTTGTAACTTACAAGAAGAGGTTACAAAGTATGCGTTGGAAACATAAAACCTGTAAATTTTGCTTTCTATGAGTCACAATCAGCGATTTGCTGATCGCTGAGTGAGTGAGTGAGTGAGTGAGTGAGTTTGTGAAAAATCGCTGATTGTGACTCTCAAGAAGTGAAATAAACAGGTTTAATATGTCAAACACATTCTTTGCAACCTCTTCTTGTATCCTACCAATTCAAAATTTGATCATGGCATCTAATTATTTCATAGTTTAGAAAAACATTGTTTTAGCTGAAATGAGTCTTTGCAACCTTGCTCAGAATTTCGTAAAAATTGGTAGTTTTGTTCCTTATTAATCATTTTGTTCGACCATTTTCCACATAGATGGCGCTGTGCCGCTGGTAGGAAGTGATAAAAATCCCCATATAGAAATTGAGAGAAGTGCGAATAATTCGCCTCCGGTGCATATTCAGGTCAAAAAAAAGTGAACGACAACCTAAAGAAATTAGTCAGGGGCTTTGTCGTTCAGTTTTTTCCCGGAAATTAATGCTCAACAAGCTACAATTAAATAAAAATGATTTTTCCCCATACAATCTTACCTGCTTTACTACCAGTCCCCAGAGAGCCAAAAACATTCAAATTTGAGAGAGAAATTCTCTCTCACGAGCTCAATCTCTCAACATGCCATGTATTTTTTTTGACACTCGTTTTGTGATTTCCCTTTCACAGATTACAAAATAGAGTACCTGACACTACAAAACATGTCTGGTACCTCTATATATGCACTTGCTTTAACATTTGAAGTCCCTCCTTTTTTACATATTCTGCGCAAAAGATACTTTATGCCCCGCCCCATACATAAAATTCGGCGGGAAATTATGTGAGGGGTGAGCTATTTTGTGTGCAGAATGTGTAAAAAAGGAGGGACTTCGAATAATAATCTAAATGCATATATAGAGGTACCAGACATGTTCTGCACTGCAGTGTCCTCTGTGAACAATTATAGAAAAACAGATTGTGCCTAGTTTCCGACAGATGTCACCGCAAACAACAGCTGTGACATCTGATGGAACATGAATGCAGAAGCTTGACAAAATGATCAATTGGTTCCAAAAAAATAGAAAGTGTTCAAAGAAGGAAATATTACACACACACATATATTACATAAAGTATCTTTTGCGCAGAATATGTAAAAAAGGAGGGACTTCGAACAATAATCTAAATGCATATTTAGATGTACCAGACATGCTTTGTAGTGTCATTCTCTGCTTGAACGTCAAGCAGTACAGTTCGGTCTTTGCTCGCTCTGTCGAGTTGTTCTAAAGTTTCTAGTTTGTTCCAAACATTCGCAGTTTAATCGCGTCGTCAGTAGTGTCGGTCGCTTCGTGTGATGGGAAGACAGCGCTCCCGGAGCGAGAGAAAACGGAGAAGAAGAACAGCGGTGAGGGTAGCTTGAGTGTACCTATTTCGAATAGGTACGCTACTCTTCCCACCGATGTAGGGAATCCCACCTCAGCCACGGTGAAACGGTCTAAGAAGAGGAAGAAAAATCAAGGCCAGTCCGATGGTGCGAGTGGACGGGACGATGCCACCGCGACGAACGTCAGCGTCATTGGTGATTTCGGCGACGCCGTCGACAACGAAACTGCTGCCAGCCCGAGTGCAGCAAAAATGAAGCTTCCTCCACTGGTGGTGAAGCAAGTCCCACTAAACACGCTGATTGGCGATCTTTCATCGCTGGGTGTTGCAGCTGGGTTTAAGCTCGGCAGGATCGGCACCAAGGTGATGCTCCGAACCAAAGCGGAGTACGAAGTGGCCGTGAAATATCTGAAGGATACTAAGGCGGAATTCTTCACGCACGACATCCCCGGTGAGAAGCCCTTCAAGGTCGTCATCAGGGGTCTACCAAACTTCGACCCCAAGATGGTCGAAGCCGAAATCAACCGGTACAAGCTAGCCCCAATCGCTGTCTTCCGAATGACAAGGAGAGATGAAAACGTGAAGACGTACCCGGATTGTCTTTTCCTGGTGCACTTCCAGAAAGGGACGGTGACGCTCAATGCGCTACAAGCCATCCGATCGATCTACTCCATCATCGTACGGTGGGAGCCATACCGTGGCGGTCATCGTGACGTAACGCAGTGTCAGAGGTGCCTCAATTTTGGACACGGTACCCGCAACTGCAACATCAAGCCACGCTGCAGCAACTGCGCTCAAGAACACTTCCTACTGCCCTGCGGATGGAGCCGTGGCGATAAAATGCGCTAACTGTGGTGGTGCACATCAAGGTTCTGACAGACAGTGCTCCAAACGCGAGGACTTCAAACGCATCCGAAAGCTGGCGTCAAGCAACAATCAACCAGGACGAAAGAAGGACAAAACCCCAGCATTCAGGACGGAGGATTTTCCGCCTCTTCGTGCTCCCCAGCAAAGGCAAGCGAATTCGCGGGTGCAACCCGCCCCCCCTCAAGAAGCTTCCGATGATTCTGCTGGTCAAAGCTCTCCATCCCCCCTGGATTCTGGAGACAACCAACAGCGCAAAACAACAACCCCGATCTGTTCTCAGGGGATGAACTGATGGAAATTTTCGTCAACATGTCCGGTGCTCTTCGTAAGTGCCGCAATAAGCCCGAACAGATCCAAGTGCTCAGTAAGTTCATCATCCAGTATGGCGTCTAAACCGCTAACTATCGTCACCTGGAATGCTTGCTCTGTAAGAGCAAAACAGATTGAGCTTGCCGACTTCCTCCGCAAGCACAGCATCGACGTGGGCCTTCTAACCGAGACCCATCTAAAGTCCGGCGACAGCTTCTGGTTGCCTGACCACAACACTATCCGGCTTGATCGCACCAGCTCCAGGGGGGGTGGTGTTGCGGTCGTCGTCAAGAAAGGAATAAAATACCACACTCTGTCCCATATCCGCACCTCTATCATCGAGGCCCTTGGTGTGGAGGTGGAGTCGTCGACTGGATACGTCCAGTTCATCGCCGTCTACTGCCCTCGACAGTGTGCCGCCAGCAGTGGACTAGCGGCTAAATTCAAGAAGGACCTGTCCACCATCACCCGTACCGGTTCCCGCTTCGTAGTTGGAGGAGATCTGAATGCTCGCCATAGGCCTGGCGGAACTACCAGTAGAACCAGAACGGTCGTCTCCTGTTCGACCACTTACAGCATGGGCTGTACTCCGTTTGGTTTTCGGATGAACTAACATTCATCTCACCGGCGGGCAACCCATCGACGCTAGACCTGTTCCTGACAAATATCGGCTTGTCCAAGCCGGCAGCCTTGAACGAACTCAGCTCCGACCACCAACCGGTGGTGGCTGAACTGGGCTGCAACGTGGCTCCTGCTTCAAGCCTGCGCAAGGACTACCATCGCGTTAACTGGGCCCAGTTTGGACGCGTGGTAGACAGGCACATCATCGACAACCCGCCGCTTGACACCGTGGAGGACATCGACCGAGCGTTGGAGGGACTCCACCAAGCCATAACCGTGGCTGACGAGGCATGCGTCCGACGAGTTCCTGTGAGGGGTAAGTTTATTGCCATTGATTCCCACACCCAACTTTTGATTCGCCTGAGAAATGTTCGTAGACGCCAGTTTCAGAGGACTGGAGATCTGGGCAAAAAACGTGAAATGGCTGATCTGAACAGACAGATTGCTTCCAGAATGAACTCACTCCGAAATGAAAGTTTCGGACGTGTTGCCCAGAATCTGGACGACCGCTCCAGACCATTCTGGAAGGTAGCCAAGGTCCTGAAAACTCATCCCAAACCCATTCCACCTCTCAAAGTCGAAAATGATGACGATCGGCTTTTAATCACCCCACAGGAGAAAGCAAATGCGATCGGCGAGCATGTCGCTTCATCGCATTTGCTTGGCTCGAATATCCAAAGTCCGCTCGAAGATCAGGTTGCGCAATGCGTTCAAAACCTAGATGCCTCCTCTTATGTCGTGCCTCCGGCGGATATGATTACAGTACAACAAATTTGCTCAGCGCTGAAATGCACCAAGAACATGAAGGCTCCCGGGTTTGACGGTATATTCAACTTGATCTTGAAGAGACTCAGCATGAAAGTGCAGTCTCTTCTAACCGCTATCTTCAACAGATGTTTGGAACTGCACTACTTTCCAAGCATCTGGAAAGTAGCAAAAATCATACCAATCCGCAAACCCGGTAAGGATCCAACATTGTCTTCAAGCTACAGACCAATCAGCCTCCTTTCAGCGCTGAGCAAATTGTTCGAGAAACTCATTCTCAACGTTTGCTCAAGTTTGTCGAGGAAAATAACATTCTCCTTCCGGAACAGTTTGGATTCAGAAAGGGGCACTCCACCAATCATCAGCTAGTACGGGTGATGAATAACATTCGAAGTAACAAAGCTGTATCCAAGTCCACAGCCATGGCCTTGTTGGACGTTGAAAAGGCGTTTGACAATGTTTGGCATGATAGACTTGTGTACAAGCTTTGTAACTTCAACTTCCCATTACATCTGGTTAAAATCACCCGCAACTACCTTCAGCAAAGGTCGTTTAAGGTATCGTTGAATGGTTGTCTTTCAGACACGTTTTCCATCCCAGCAGGAGTCCCGCAATGCAGTTTGCTGGGCCCCTTGCTTTACAGCATTTATACTTCCGACATTCCTCCCCTCGGAGACGGTTGCGTGTTTTTCCTGTTCGCAGATGATACCGCAATAGCCGTCAAAGGAAGGATGCCTCGCGAAATAACGAACAAACTTCAACGATGCCTTAACACCTTTGCTGATTATGCCACCACGTGGAAAATAAAAATCAATGCCTCCAAAACACAAGCGATCATGTTCCTCCATCGGCAATCGCCCAAACTGAAACCGGCTCCATCTTGTACTGTAATCATGGATGGCACAAGGGTTGAGTGGTCCACCGAAGTAACCTATCTCGGGATGTTGTTTGACGAAAAGCTCCTATTCCGCTCGCATGTGGAGAAAACCGTAATCAAGTGTTCTGCCTTGACTAGATGTCTGTATCCGCTGATTTGCCGCAGATCCCGCCTCTCAAGGGTGAACAAACTGGCCGTCTACAAACAAATCATAGCACCTGCGATCCTCCACGCAGCTCCGGTGTGGGAATCATGTGCACAGACTCACAGGAACAAAATCCAGGTCGCTCAGAATAGAGTGCTGAGGATGGTACTTGATCGTCCTTTTGACACTAGAATAACAAATTTACACGAAGAGGCAGGCATTGCCAAAATAGATTACAGAATTAACGAAATTAAGACTAAATTTGCACAAAAATGTAATTTATCAGAACATGCTTTGATAAGCAATTTGTATAGTAGATTAGGTGTATATAGTAGTTGTAGGTTAGTTGTAGTTGTAAATAGTAGTTATAAGTAGTCTCCTTTTTCAAATTTTAAAACAAACCAATCCCACCAAGGTGGTCATTCTCTAAAACAGGCCTGATAGGACTAGGAAATGTAATTATTAATAATAATTGAAATCTCAAAGGAACTAAAGTTGAAAAGACGCATCTGTGTCACTTGAAAAATTCATACATGTAAACCACACAAACACAAGAAATAAAGATCATAACTGTTTTGTAGTGTCAGGTACTCTATTTTGTAATCTGTGAAAGGGAAATCACAAATCGAGTGTCAACAAAATACATGGCATGTTGAGAGATTGAGCTCGTGAGAGAGAATTTCTCTCTCAAATTTGAAATTTTTTGGCTCTCTGGGGACTGGTAGTAAAGCAGGTAAAATTGTATGGGGAAAAATCATTTTTATTTAATTGTAGCTTGTTGAGCATTAATTTCCGGGAAAAAACTGAACGACAAAGCCCCTGACTAATTTCTTTAGGTTGTCGTTCACTTTTTTTGACCTGAATATGCACCGGAGGCGAATTATTCGCACTTCTCTCAATTTCTATATGGGGATTTTTATCTCTTCCTACCAGCGGAACAGCGCCATCTCTGTGGAAAATGGTCGAACAAAATGATTAATTGACAAGCCCCTTGATCCCCTTTCTCATTTTACCGCTGGTATAATCAATTTGACAGATCGATGTCCTTCTATACCACTTTAAATCACTGAAATGGGGTCGATTTTTGATGATCGAGTTCCACATATGTTATGTGCATATGGATAGGAAATCAAGCAAAGATGGGACTGATATGCGATTATGGGTACTATACATCATTGATGTAAAATGAATAGGAATTAGAGGATGAAAAAGGTTAACCTGTAGCACTTAAAAAGCCAACTTGTAATACTAACAAAAATATATGAATAAATAAATTCGTAATAAAAAAATAACATGACCAGAAGATATTTCCGACGGGCTCAACGTTTAGATGTAACACTTACTGATTTGCCTATCTCCGTATGAGATGGCTTCGGCCAGCGGGGACCATCCCTGTTGGTTTTTCACTTTTACCGGTGCACCATGCGCCAGCAGTAGGTAGGTACATTCTGCAATTAGAAGTAAATGGTAATTTGAATGCGACATAAAAAAAAATCGAAGGTAATCAACCAAGCACCTTGATTGCTTTCCGTTCCGTCAACAACCGTACCGTACCGTAGTGCTGGATTGGAATTACACTTTCTTCCCAAGCTAGATTGAAATCCATTAACTTTAATAACCCAACAATCAATAACCGATTGAGTGAAAACGACCGGAAAGACCGTCCTAATCACGGTCAGGACTTTCCATCATTGCATGTATGTCATCAATACATATAATGCGAGCCATCAGAATCCACACGCAGCTGTCTATATTTAGTCCGGCCAGATGGATGAAGAAGCAGATCCTCGTGATGATATATCGCATAAGCTCACGGAAATTGGAAATACAAAATACAACCGTCCCGGTCACCACCCACCAACCATTCTAGCAACAGTCTGGATCAGGGTTGTTTCCACTCACTTCGCTATTTTTTTTTTTAAATTATGAAATCATTAGATGTTATAATGGTATTTAAGTTATAAGAAGAGGTTGTAAAATATGTGCTAGGCACTTAAAACCTGTCAATTTCACTTTCAGACAAGCAAAATCAGCGAATGTATCAGTGTTGGCAAAATCAGAAATCAATTGATATCTTTCCGCGTTCATGCGCTCGCAATATCACGCGTGATATTGGAACAAAATATCATGCTTGATATTGATTTTACAAGCTCCTTTGATATTGCGAGACTATTCACAACGTGCCGAAATCAAGCTGAGAGTTGACTCGACACAAAAATGATTCCATTGCACATCGTTTTCTTAGAAAGAGAAAGCATAGTTTGCTATCTCTTTTTAATCTTCACCGATGGCAGACGCGAAGGGACTGCTGCAAGCCGTTATGGAAGTTTCGGCTGCATTCGGGAGTAAAGCAAAAATCATTAAACTCAATCTCACCACAGTTTGGTGAAATTTGCAGTTGGTGAGTTTTGTTAGCTTGTTATTCCGAGCTGCGATATCACAGCTTGCAAAATCAACCGCAGTTGTTTGCTTGTTTATTTTTGTCTACGAAAATCAAGCGTGATCTTGGGCGTTGGTGAGATTTGATTTTTTGATATTTTCCCAACACTGGAATGTATGATTCTTGAGCTCTCACTCTGAGTGAACACTCACGAATCATAAAATCGCTGATTGTGACTTTTTGAATTGACAGGTTCCATGAGTTAAACGCAATTCTTTTCAACCTCTTCTTGTAAATTACAAGTACCCCATTTCAGCATTCAATTATTCCATAAATCCGAACAACATTTTTATAGCGAAGTGAGTGGAAGCAGCCCTGTTCAGGATGGAGGAAAGTTGACAATAAAGTATGTTTGCTTGTTTTCCTATATCGCTACGATTTTCGGCGTTTCCCTCGTGCATTTTTGTTTGCCATACTTGGCATAAACAGAGCAATTGTATTCAAGCTTTAATACAAAATTGCTGATTTCTTTGATATCTAACATTCACATGAGGCAATTTACATGACATTTTCAAGCAGTATTATACTATAATAGATAATGCATTTGGCGAAACCAACCAGAAAAATGTAAACAACCCAAATGAAGCCCTCGCAGTGCTTATCAGTCTGTAAATCAGTTTTCTACGAAATTTCATCATCGCATAAAGTCTTATCAACTGTCCGAGTGCAAATGTTTGCGAACTCGACCGATTGTGATGAAATTATCTGCGGAGTTGAACCATATGTGGAACGCATTTTAAAAGGCGGTTGATTCAAATCGATCGAAATTATATTCGCTGAATGAATGGCTTGAAACTTATGCCGTCACTCAAGGTTAGGTTATTGAAATTGATGGAAACAAAAGAAGGAAAGGATTATGCTTTCCACTCCTTTTTTTGGAAAGAAAAACTGCAGCGATGACAGTTTTGCTTTTTATCCATTCGTCAAATGGCGGTTGGAATTTACACTTTCAAACAAGTTGTAGCTGATGGCCCTTTTTGACAAGAAAGGGAGAAGGGCTACGGATGGCGCGTGTTGTTCGTTACTAACAAAATTGGATGTTGAGTTTTTTATTATTTTACACAGTCACACAGGTACACGGGTAGCTGATGAAAATATGTCAGATTGCAATGCAAATTCATCATAATGTGTGTGTTAATACTTTCGGTTTATAATCTGAGACTTCGGAGCAGTTCCACGCAAAATTGTATTATCGGTACAGTTGAAGCACCGACAAACCGACATGAATGACCATAGCAAAAACAATAAAATTTCTGACCAAAGCACACTACTGACATCTGGCTCCGTGTTCGCGGGAAATATTTAGTTTAATCATGAACCCGCATAAACGCGAACCATAAATTGACCTTACCTAAAATGGTTAAAAATTGTTTATAATCCCTGCTAAACTTTAACTGAAATGGTTATGGAACTTTACATGAACGTTTAATGATAAAGTTTCAACCTTATGTATTATGGTTTTTTGGAACTGGACCTTACAAATAATGGGTTGTTAAGAACCATTACCATTCCAAATTCTTGTTTTCTCCATACATTTTCAGAAAGAGAACTATATAAGAACGTTTTTACTTATGATTTGAGAACATTAATGGTAATGGTTATGGTAGTCAGTAAGGTCCATTAATGGTTTTGTATTATCGCTCAACTTTACGTGGAATATATCGTGAATTGGTAATCAGTAAATTACAGGCAATATATATATATATATATCTATATATACAGCAATTCCATAGAAAAAAGTTATAGTGGGTCTCAGAATTTCATGAAAATTGGTATAGTTCTTCCTTATCAAAAAATATTAGACTCGTATTTTTTTATTGCGCCATTAGGGTGACCATTTCCGTGTTAGGGTGGTCCAAAAAATAATTTTTTTTCAAAAATGTCTTTTTTCAAAAATTTATAACTTCTGAACCTCTTGACCGATTTTTACGATTGACCCTTCAAATGAAAGATGTTTTAATGTAGTTTTAAGAAAAATTATGAAACACTCAGAGATATTTGATTTTGTAGGAAAAAAATATGTTACAAATGCTTTTTCTTGATTTTCACTGCGAGGGTCTTCAACAACTTCTTATTTTAGTATTTTTAATTGAAAGATCATTTAATTTTACATAACATATCAAAAAATTAGCGATGTCGGAGAAGCAGTTTTGGAGATACAATAAAAAATTATTGTTCCGCAATATATGCACCAAACGTGCATGGAAACGATGAAGACGCAAGGTAGTTCACAATGCGCCTCCATCGAGTCACAGCAGCTGTGACTAATGAAATCTATGAGTAACTTACAAGCTGGGTGCAACATTCAGTTCAACCTGCGGGCCGTCCATAAACCACGTAGACCAAGTTTTAAACATTGAAGATCCTACCTTTCCCTTCGTATACTCAAATTTTAAAGCGTTTCGTCTCAATACTCCTCCCATAGGGCCTTTTCCATGACAAGTTGCGAAAAAATGCCACACGGCAGCAATGCCAAAATTTTTTGCATGTTGCATCAGTACCTAAGAGTCCAAGCTGTACCTCATAGGTATATCACTCGTTCGTAGGCAATGACTTTTACATAAGCTCCAGCCCAATAGGCTTCGCGGTGTTAGTGACATTTGGAAATATTTAGTGGTGTTTGTATTTGTTCGCAATATTCATCTATTTACCTGAAACAGCTGTTTGAAGTGACGTCATTGCTTACGAACAGGTGATATACCTATGAGTTACAGCTTAGACTCGTAGGTATATCACTCACTCGTAGGTACGATATAATGCTTCACATAAAACAACGAATGTTATGAAAGAAATGATCAGTTAGAAATCAAAGTTTCCTACTAGAACAGTTGAATTGAAGAATATCTAAAAATGAAACGTAAGTGTTCAATGTGTGATGTTTGGATGTTGAGTTCATGTGCCAGAAAAATCACCAATAAATTGTACGATTATGCAGTGGAAAAAAAGATTAAAATAGATGAGAGTAGCTCCTTCATTTGTCAACGATGCTACCACAAACTATATGAACCCAATGATGCCGTGACCGAAGAAGCCGTTGCAGGACCATCCAGAATCGCTGCTGCAGGTACTTTATTTGAAAATTCATGTGATTCTTCTTCAAATTTCAATTCTTTTCTTCTAACTACTAACTTAAACTCTTCTTTTTTGCAATCATTTTTCAGAGTCCATCGAAGCAACCAGCATTGAATCAATTTCCGTTGCGGGACCGTCCAGAATGGTTTCTTTTCCCTGCCAAGGTAAATAATAAAAAAATAAATCGTTTGTATGCTTTTTTTCTAATAATCAATCATTTTTTATATTTATTTTCAGAATCAGTGGAAACAACCAGTTCTGAATCGATCGTCAATGAGAGATACAGGATTTTAACCACACTTCCCAAAAGTTGGTCTACATATAAAATTATGAAGGAGTTCAATGTTTCCCAACATATGGCCAACCAAGCAAAAGCACTGCAGCAAGAGAAAGGAATAATGTCGGTGCCTGTAAAGAGGTTAAGCAGAGCTTCATTAGGAGAACCAACGATAATGCTTGTTCGTGATTTTTACAATAGTGACGATATAAGTCGTGTTTGTCCGGGGAAAAGAGATTATTTAATATCTAAAAATGATGAAGGCGAAATCTACGTACAAAGAAGATTAGTCTTGTGTAACTTGCAGGAGGCGTACTCCATCTTTAAAAATACATATCCTGATATTAAAATAGGATTTTCCATGTTCGCCAGTAACCGCCAGTAACACTGCATTTTTGGCAGGGACAAGTGGCACGCATACCGTATGCGTTTGTATATATCATCAGAACGTTAAACTTATTTTTAAAACACTACAAAGCAGACAATCACTCCCAGATGGTGTTGATTCCTATCACGATTTGTTTAAAAAAATAATTTGTCAAAATCCAAGTGAACAATGCTGGCTGCAGTGTTGCAAAAATTGTTCAGGAACGCAAATTTTGGCCACAGAACTAATGACTATTCTTAGTAACGGACATGTTGAATCAATACAATTCAAA